AGTCATTCAACTAGGTTATTTGCTTTAGTTGAGTCAAGCCAGATGGACAGTTTTAAATTCTGGTTCCACACTTTTTTCACCTGACTGGAGACTGAATTTGGAAAAACTTTGAGTTTCCAGTTGAAGAGCATGGAGGTTTTAAATGCTGAAATAAGAGAACAAACAAATTTATGTAATCACCCTATTTATTTATTTTTGTTTTTCTATTTCCTCCATTTCATTCTTATATATATTTTTAGATAAATCATTTTATTCTTATGTTTTACAAACTTTTTGTATCTTTATTTATCTTTTTTTTTATTCTCTGCCATTTTCCTTTTTTTTTATCTGAATTTGGGTTCAAAATATTTTGATTTTCTGGATATCCTGGCAATTCCCATTGAAACTGGAACTTTCTGAATTTCAAGTTCCAATGTAACTTAAATCCAAAAAGTGGATGATACCCCAACTCCCACATGCATCCTACGTGTAATCAAACCTAATCCTTCAATAAGCAAATATCACCTTCCATGTCAGCAGTCTCCCATATGGAGGAATAAATAATTAGAGCACCTTACTCACAAATGAAAAGGATTGGGAATTAGTTAAAGCACAATCAATCCATCAAAACTTGGGCCACCTCTTCAAGTTTACTTTTACAGTGTTTTTAACGACTTTGGTAAATATAAAATAAATACATAATGAAAGTAATAGATAAATATAAAATAATATAATTTTTATTATTCATCTGATAAATAAAATTACTAAAAAGTGAAGAAAAAATTTTAAATGTGTGAAAACTTCCAAAATAGTAGGGACAAGACAAAAGATAGATCAGTAGAAAAATGTGCAATTGATATACTCTCAATAGTTCACCAAGGTCTTATTGCAGCTTTCTGGGGGAAACTCACTGTGTGTTTAATGTATTTAAATCTTCATTTTTTATCAAGAATAATTTTGAATAAACGGTTATCATTGAAATAAATAGAAAAAGGGAACTGATTTTGGCCCATCCCTTAAACACAAAGGACCCCTGTCTGTAATAACAAAAATCAATACATAGGGGTAAGGGGTATTTCAGTCTTCTAAAACATGCACATTTTGACTAATGGTTAGGGGTTGTCCCTTTATAAAGAAGGGGATGTGCCCAAATCACTCCCCACAACTGAGAAGTATATTTTTTCCCCAAAAGTAAAACTAATCAGACAGAATGGAAATCAGTGGGCAAAGATGTGTTTGAATTATTGCATTCATAGTTTGTTTTACTAATACTATATTTTGAAGATAAATTATTATCAGATTTTTTTTTTGAAAAAGGTAAGGCTACAGTTGATTACCAAGAGAATAAGAGAAGTGAAAGGAAACTAGAAAAAGAAGAGCAAAGAACAGAAAATTTAAAAGGATAACTGTTAATTGGCCCCATTCACCTATTTTGCACTTTGCAATTCATTTTCTTGCATTTTGAGATAGTTCTGTAAGGAAAACATGGCTGAGACTAGGGCTGTTATCCTTTGGTCTATTTTGGAAAAAAAGGAGCTAGGCTGTGTTTACTGGCTTAACAAATATATAAATCTCATTGTACATACAATCTCACAATTAATAAAGCTTTACTGTTATCTATAAAAAAATACAAGAATTTTTAATGAGAAGAGGCTATCTTAAGAAGCAGTAATAGAAAATATCACTATCAAAGTGGTGAATTGGACATTATGAAGTYCATCGGTTTCAGATCATATCAAGCTAAATTATGATGGGTGTAGCATTGGCAATCCAAGTATTTAAGGGATTGGAGGAGTCTTTAGAGATTGCCATGGGGCTGTGGTAGCAATATATTCAGGACATATTGGGGTTTAGGAATATACAAAAGCCAAAATGCTAGCAGTTCTACATGGAATAAGGATGGCCAAGAGGCTGAATATGAGAAACTTAATGGTGGAAGAAGATTCTAAGGCCATAGTAAGCTGGCTAAAATATGAAGGTCAAGGAACATGACAATATGATCACACTGAAAGAAATCAAGCATGTAGCAAGGGAGGTGATTATTTCAGTTAGGTGGCTACCTAGATCAGCAACTTATATGGCTGATTCACTTGCAAAACAAGGTGCAAGTAGAGAGAAGATGTAGTGGAGGGTCACAAATGAAAGTTATTTAGAAAAGATGTAAACAGAAACAGAAGGGCAGGTGAAAACCAGCCCTACAGAGGGAACTAAATGCATGTACATGACATTCTTTTTCATAAATCAATGAAGTTTGTTAACAATAAAAAAATAGTTGTGAATTTTAAAAATGTGTAAATTACTAAAAAATAGAAATATGTAAGCTGATGTTTTAAAAGGCGTGGGAGGTGTTCTCCTGGAGGCATGCCTCCAGGCTAGGCGCTCCCAAAACGCCCTGAGGCGTATGCCTCATGTGCTTTTTTCATGAGGCATGCTAGAGGCGTATGCCTCATGCGCCTCATGTACATCTTATATAAAAAGACCAAAAAAAAAGAAAAAGGAAAAAAAGGAAAGGAAAGGAAAGGAAAAGAAAGAGAAGAAAAAAGAGAAAAGAAAAGGAAAGGGAAGGGAAGGGAAGAAAAGATAAGGGGAAAGAAAGTGGTTTGCCCCCTGCCCCTTCGGCTGGGGGGCTTCGCCCCCTAGACCCCCCACCCCCTTTTTGATGCAGCCTAATTTGTTTTTTTGAGTTAGGGGGGGTCTTGCTCCACTTCGACAAGACCCCCCTTTCAACTAATGTTATGCATCTTTATTCTTCTTTAAATAAAAGATTTTTATTATAAATAAAGAAAAAATGAGATCCCCCCTTCCTCTTCATCCTCCTCCTAACCCCCTCCTCTTAAGTAGGGGTGCAAGTCAGGCGGGTTGGGCCAGGTTTCTGTATTTTTGAATGATACTTGGTAGAGGTGGGGGCAACTTTTTCATCATATAGGGTAGCTGGTAGATATTCCAGAAACACCTCAAGTGGTTGAGCGTCTGAGACAAGTTGACACATGAAACTAACAGATACTTAAGGAGTGATTATGACAATGAAACAGTAGTTTGCTGAGTTTTCTAAATTACACTAATGGTTTCTTTTTCTTTGCTTTTTTTTTTAAGGTATTTTAAGCTGTAGGCTGAAGTGTGACATGCTCATGAGGCATGAGACAAGGATCCTATCTTTTTCAGCCATCAAGTCAAAGATTGTGCACCTAATCAGCATGTCACATTGCTTTAAGAAAAAAAAAAAAAACTTAGAAGGTTAGGGAAATATTTGGTTGCAGTTTAAAGCTAGAAAAGGAAGGTAACTCTTCCTGAGGCCCCACCTATTTCTTTGGACTTCCTATTGTGCCATCAGAAACCAGGTCCCAGATTAGGAATTTCAACTCAATTCTCTTTTGAAGTTTGCATGGGCTGGGCTCTGTGATAGTCCTTCCCTTGTAGGTTTCACTAAGTCATGTGCACGTTCTGTTCACATTGCACCTTAACCATTATTTCAGCCTTAAAATTCTCATGTGAGTATTTTCTACTGCCACTGATCATTTTTTCTTTTATGGGGTTGCTATATAAGGAGAAGAATGAATCAAACGATGCTCTAAGCTTCGCCTGATATAAGTGTTGACTGTGTGCCATACTAGTCATTTTTTTCTATTATAGGGTTGCTATGTAAAATTGTATTGCTCATCTCCACATGTTAACATGCTTCCTCCTTTTAACCTATATCTTTAAAAGCAAGAAGTGCAAATGCTTCCTCCTTTTAACCTATATCTTTAAAAGCAAGAAGTGCAAGGGGCCACAGTCAGGTGCCACAGGTTTAGTGGAATGCAACTAGAGCTTGAGATGTAAGGTGCAAAGTGAAATGCATTCTTGAACAAAGTCAGGTGCCACAAGCTAAATGGTTTAAACTACAAAAATCCTAGCTACAAGCTACAACAAGCAAAATACTCATTCAAACATCAAATTCAAGGTTAATTCATCAAAACATGTCAACGAGCCAGGCGAGGGATCATAGTTGTCAAGGCGTCGCCTAGGTGACTAGGTGCCCTTGGCTGGGAACCTAGCCCAAATGCCTTGACTTTTAGCAACTAGGTGCCTGCCTAGGTGACTAAGCGCCCACCTAGGCAACAAAAATGACAAAGGTGAGCATCTTTTATAATATCATTTATATTTCTGTATCTTATTAATGTATGCATTAATACATTTTATTATATGCTATATATATCAATATACTTTGTTGTAATGTTTTACTATTGAAATTTAAAAGATCAAAGGGTTTTGAGGAGAGAAAAAAAGAAAGAAAGAAAGAGGAAAGAAAGAATAGAATTATAAAGAGGTTCTGTTTTTTTTTTTTTTTTTCTATTTTCTCTCTAATTAAATAAAACAGAAACTCCATCCTTGTTTTTTCTATTTTACTTTCTATCTTGAATATTTATCATATAAAGTTGACCTTCTTTAGCTGCTAATTAATTCTCTACTAAATCCTTATTATAGAAAAATTATTTTTAAAAATAATTAAATTAATATATGTAAAAGATTTTTATCTTTTAGATGTGATGATTTGCCACATTTTTAGAGGAAATTTAATGTTCTTAATAAAGAGAACTGTTATTTTTTTAATTAATATCTTGTAGTTGTTTAGATTTGAATCCATTTGGGATCTGTAACCTGTCCTGTGTTCTGAGTAGCCACTTGTTGTTAGCTCTCCTGTTGCAATGAGTCTTTTCTGAATTAATAAATTTCTTACTTTACCTTTTAAAAAAAAATATACATGCTGAATGATATATAAAACTAGGGAACTAGCCAAAAGTTAGATTTTTATATTATAAAATTTTTATTGCCTAGGCGACTAGGCGACTAGGTGCCCTAGTGTCACCCAGCATCGCCTAGGCGCCTTGAAAACTATGTTAGGAATATCTCACTTACCATTGAACCTAGACATACGCTTTAAGGCACTGCATTAGATGCACATTTTAAATATTCTCCAGTTTATATGCATACATTTTAGAAGTTTCTCTTTCTAGAGGTATCATTTTGATGTTTAATGGCAGGTCTTGCTATCAAGCCAAGGGTGATTCATCATATTCAATCTTGTCTTGGAGTATGTGATCCTCTTGCATCACAATTTATAGCATCTATTTCTTTTCCACTAATCTAACCTAATTCTTATCTTTATTTTTCAGGAAGTACTAGCAAAGATGATGATGAAGTTCGGGAACATTCCTGGTCTACCTAGTCAAAATGTACTCCCAGGGTCCTTGCAGAGCAGCATGAGCATGATAAATGACACCTCAATGCAAAACCAAATTGGAAATATCATGCAGTCAGCATCAAAAACTATGGAAAATACATCTCAATTCCCATCTAAAGCTGTAGGTATGAGCACTGGGTCTAAGTACGCATCTTCATTGGACACTTCCCTGGGCAGTCGCACTGAAAAGGTTATCAGCAATTTCTTGCAGAATTCTGTTTTGAAGGATGGGGAGGAAATTGGGTCTAATAATTTGGTATGTTATGCAAATATAGTAGCATGCATATTTTACTTTTTTTTTTTTTTTTGAAGAATGCTCTAATATTTTCTTCAAAAGGGGCTAACATGTAAATATTATGCATCAAGAAGATGGAGAGTACATAAAGGGATGTACACTGATGCACAAAATATGAATAAGCAGCTTCCCCAATAACAAAAAAAATGACATGGAAATAGAGCTATTACTATACAAAATAGCCAACCCAATTCCTGAATTAACAAGAAGAAACAAGTGCATATGCTGTAGTTTTCATTTCACTAGGATCCATCTATTCTGAACATTCAAGTTCTCCAATGATTCCTGGATCTCTTTAGCAAATGCACTAGGTGCTATGGACCATTGGCCTACTACCCACACTTTAGCACCATTGGATGACATTGGCCTAGTCTCCCTCAATGGGCAGCTATGAAAGATTAGAAGAATGATTTCTGATATGGACTGCCATTAGTAGAGCTTTAACATACACTTTCAAGGAATCTGCATCTGTAATGGTCCTGCTAAATGCCAAATATAAACCTCTTTCTGCCTTGGGTGATACACCTCCAATCTCTGCCAGTGCCAGCACTGGATTCCCTTTGGAGCAGCTGTCAAATTAAGTATGACTTGATCCATCCACAGCAGGGGGAATGCAAACTCTCCTGGTGGTTCTCCTGGGAAGGGTTCAAGTCTGATTGGTCCATAATCTAATGCATGTTGTGCTTTTGCAATTTCTGATTCAATAGACAATATTGTTGCTCTACATTGTACTTTCATCTGTGTCCATGTTTAGCAAGTACTATTTCTAGGAAACTGTTTCATGGTTATGCTTCTCTTCAAGTTGCCATTACCTTCTTTGTCCAATATTTATAATTCAAATGCATCTTATCAGATGGTTGAAATGAACATTATCTTATTATTTTGTCTTCCACTGGAAAACCATATGGTTGTCCTAGACAACTATCCAGAAGCCACTAGGACAAATGCTTAGAGCAGAATTGGTTTTCTGATTTTGAGTGGACACTAGACAGGTGCACTTATCAGTTTGGTGCAAGAGTGAATTTTTTTTTTTTTAAATAGGAAATGATAAAAAAACTAACTATATTTTTAGAGATACTATTTTTTACTTTCAGAAGAATTTATTTATTTCATTAAATGATTCTTTACATTTTTTTTCAACTATCATAACATGGATTAATCTTTCTACACGGTTCTTTGGAATTTTGACAGATTTTTGTTTTGTTTTATCTTGTGTTTTGATGAAAATTTTCTGTTGTGGTAGGTAAATAATCTTGATCACAAATCTATTGCTTCTTAAAGACTTATTCATGTTATGATGTTTTTGATCATTAACAGAGGGGTTTTATTGATAGAAAGCAATGTAAAAGATGTACACCAAGAATACAAGATGTAAAAGGTTACTCAAACATGGAACAAGAAATACAACCAATCAATCTAACCCTGCTCCATAAAGAGTCCCTGACTATCCACTCCTCCACGAACAAGTGAATCAGCCAATAAGTTAGCCGATCAAGGAACCCAACAGAATTCTGCTTGTAGATAAGCATACGAACTTGTCAGATCTTTTGTCTGAGATTCCAAGGGCCAATCATGTCTCCTTTTAGTCAGCTTATAATTGTTTTAGAATTGCTTTCCACCCCTCCATGACGGTATTTATCCCATCTTAATTCCTGATCATCCACTCCCCAATGAGCAAGTGAATCAGCCAATAAGTTAGCCGGTCAAGGAACCCAACAGAATTCTGCTTGTAGATAAGCATTCTAGCTTTTCTAATCTTTTGTCCGAGATTCCAAGGGCCAATCTTGTCTCCTTTTAGTCAGCTTATAATTGTTTTAGAATTGCCTTCCAGTATTAGCCCATGAGATTGTGCATCCTTGAACTAATTCCAGTCCTTGTAGAACAGTTGTTAGTTCATCTATGACAGAATTTGTCATTCCCGGTGTCCCAAAAGTCAACTTATTGATGTTATGGTTTATGATTTCCCTCAAAAGCAATGTGTTGAAGCTTGAAACTCCTTACAACTGGAGAAAATTAATTTTACTACTCTCAGTGCTTTTCATTCAACAACCACATGGCTTTTATGCATAATACTAAGTATTTAAAGAGTTGGTATTACATGGGCTGTCTTATGGTGGGATGATATATTTATGTTCATCTTTCATTTACAGGTGGAGAACTTCCGGTTGGAAAACAATGTTCTTCAAATGGTAAAATTGCCCCTCCCCCTCCAATATTATCTTCTTGATATCTGAGTTCAGTTAAGTAATCAATCATTTTGAGACACTGAGGACTCTGTTTCATTCTTTTTGGCTGTCTGTGATTGAACCTAGAAATTGTGAAGCCTAGACACCAACCCATTCAATACTCTATAGAAAAATGAAACACTTGCTCCTGTTTCTTCACCACAGTAGCTTGTCAGCCACTGTTCCCTAGTCTAACTTTCTTTCTTTTTTTCTTTTTGTTTTTTCTTGGTGAGAAAACCTCTTAGTCTTTGTTAAGTCCTTAAGTTTGCTGGACAGGGAGCAAGTTATTAAGATACTCCCAGACACAGCTTAAAAAAATAATAATAAAGAAGAAAAAGGGCTTTCTTATAAGCCCAGTCAGTCCTATTGGTGGGTTGAAACATTTTAATAAAGAAAGGGGCCTGTAGTCTAGTTTAGTGAACAACAGGCCCCAAGTTAATTGGGCTTGTTTGTAATGCAATAAGCATTTAATGGGCCTACAGTAGAGCCCATTTAATGGAACAAGCCCTAAAAGAATAAATCCATTTTAATTAATTTTTTGTGAGGTGTCCCACTTATTTATAAGGGGATGCCACTTGTCCTATTCTAACAAGAGGGCTATTTTCCCTCCTTTAACCACTTGAAGTGGGGGGACACATGTCACCCTAGGGGAGAGTTATTTTCCCTCCTCTAACCACTTTAAGTGGGGGGACACATGTCATCCTTGGAGGAGTTTTCTTCTCCCTCCTTAACCCACTTTAAGTGAGGGGACACTTGTCACCTTAGGAAGGAAGAGTTTTCTTTCCCGTCCTTAACCCATTTTAAGTGGGGTGACACTTGGCATTCTAAGAAGAGAGGAGTGGGAAGTTACTTAACCACTCCCTCCTCTAATATAAACCCCTCTTCTACAAGGAGAAGGGGCTAATGCCTTTTTGTTGGCTAATTCTATTCAGTTGATAGAATTTATAGCAACAAGAGACAAACCAAAGGAGAAAGAAGAGAAGATTGTGGTGTGGAAGAAAAGGGAGAAGGGGAGAAAGAAGAAGGTAGGGATTGCAGTATTTCTCCTCCACCTCTTCATTATGATACTCCTACAACTTCCTCTATAAGACTTATGTCTTTTCTTATACTCCTTTCACACACTTTCCTTCTTTGTTGTTATTATTTCATTTTTTTTTCTTCTCCTTGTCTCATTTTAATCATATGTGAGGGAGACAACCATCTACAGCCTTGTTCATGAAACTTGGCTGATTATCGTTCCTCTCAACCTATTAACCTATGTGTGAGGGGAAAAACCATCTACAACCTTGTTCGTGAAACTTGGTTGGTTCCTCACACCATGATAAATGCACATAACCACAATTTAAAGGCCATTTGCAGCCTTATTGATTAAATATGAATTTTTATGATACCTATTTATTTGTTATGTATAAAAAGTTGATTTATTTGCTGGTTTTCTCTCAAATAAAGTGAGAATATATACCCGAATTGAAAATTCTGTAGAAAAATGATACTTAGTTTAGTCTCTATTCATTGGTACTTTCTGTGCCCCTAGCAGAGATGTAATTAAGGGAATATCTACGTGATTTCTCGAATGGGGCTTACCCAAATAACAAAAAAACCCAGTTATTAGTCTAATTGGGTGAATTATGTTATGTGAGAAATTATACTAAAAAAAATTCCACCAACAGTCTTATGAAAGAGATTAATGGGAGTAAAGAATTAACGATATAAAGGCAAACTCAGAGCAAAATCTGGTACAAAGGAAAACCAACCTAAAGAAAGAAGAAAGGCTACCAGAAAAATTGAAAAAAAAATACTGGCTTCTTGGTTGATCTAGAAATTCATTGGAATGAAATATTCAACTTGGATGCTATGATGCAGACTTCTTTCATAGTATGATAGTGTCCAGTAATCACTTATAGACCTTTGCAGTGACACTATGTCATGGAGAACTGGACTTTAACCAATAACCTGTTGAATCTAATGAAGCTAGAAATTCTGAAATTCTGAGCTAGCCATTTTAATCAGACCAAAACTCCCTCTGAATCCTTTCTGCATTTCTTTCAAGGTGTTAAACAACTACTTGTTTATGCAAGCTATTTATTAAAATAAAATATTTCTATGCATTCAGGTATTGAAACACCAGCAATTCATCGAAGAGCTGATGGAGGAGAATGAAAAGCTTCGTCAAATACTTGTTGATGAGTTGAAAGTTCCAGAGAGCAAGCTCAAAGCCAGGAATACGAGTAGAACTAAATCACTTTCCCCATGTTCAGATTGTTTTGAATGTCGCAGAAGACAACAAAGATCAAAATAGAGATGTATAACTTGAAGACAAACATAAGCTTTAAAGTTGCAGCAAGCCAACAATAAAAAAAAGGCTTTAAATTATTCTTTACTATACGCTTGTTAAACCTGGAGTCTGGACATTTTGTTCTGGTGTTTGAACATTTTCTCCTGGACGGCAGTTTAGTCCAATTCATTAAAAAATAATATCAAAAAGCAATTTAATGGTATCAAAGGCAAATTGAAATGGAAGGAAACAATCATTTGAAGAGTTGCCTTGTTGAAAAGCATGTCATTAGGTCGTCTTTCATCAAACCATTTAATCTAAATTGATAAAAAAACAGATGCACTTGTTAATCTGACCTTTCTGAAAGTAATATTTTCAACCCAAAGCATTTTTGTTAAACTGAGGGATCTGCAAATCCATCATAGTATATATTTATTAGCATTTACCCTGTTTGAACAATGTTAACCTCCATGGTCTTCAAACTCTAAATCTTGAGACGAAGATCTCTACCTTTGGGTGTTTCTAACTGCAGCTTCAATAGCTTTAATAACAATTACCGACTCTCCTAATTGTTCTACATTGTAGACTAACATTTTCATTGGGAGATAATAAGAATTCAATGTTCAATGTTCTTTCCTTGACTATGGTCAGTCATGTTCATTTGATGCAGAAGTCTGTCAAAGCGTCTGCAAGCCCTTGCAGTGAAACTCTATTTGACTTGTGTTTGTCTCGTTTAGTAGGTGTGGGATCAAAAGCTAAATAACTTAACGGAATTCTAACCAGGGATAACTTAACTAGGAGGGGCATGCCTTTGGAGTCCAATAATTGTGTTGTGCGATGGGCATGTCGAATCAGTTAACCACTTGATGTTACACTGTGGCTTTTCCCACGAGGTTTGGTTAAGGATTTGGTAAGTGTTTGAGGTGCAAACCTGCAACCCAGAATCAGTGGTAGACTTCTTACAGAGCTGGAGTGTAGCTGGTCTAACCAAGAGGGGGAAGGTAGCATGGAATATCACTCCTGCAGCAGTTTTTTGGTGTGTCTGGCAAGAGAAACTCATGAATGTTCAAAAACAAAAGCAGTTTGGTAGACTCAGTTTTTCAGAAAATCTTGGGGAAATTGTTTTCCTGGCTGGCTATGAACAAACTCTGTGGGGAAAGAAATCTCAATCCCTTTTTGGTATATGATAATATTTTTGTAAAGCAGAGGGTGGGGGTTTAGGGTTGTATGGGCATTGGCTGCGCATCCCCCTTTTTTTGTATAGCAGCTTGTATTCTGTTTTTAGTTTTCTTAATAAATTTAAACCTTACTTTCTCTCTCTCTCTAAAAAAAAAAAGAAATCTGTTAATGTATAGGACCCAGATTCAGATTTGGATCAACAAGGTGTTAGATCCAGCATCAGATCAAATAAATGAAATGAAATACTTGTTCGCACCATGCATACTTCTCAATTTTTGTTCCTGGTGAAAGTCTTGTTTGCAAATTATTTCATTATAACCTTGGCACACCCTAATTGGATAGTCTTGTTTGCAAATTATTTCATTATAAACAAATGGTATCTTTATATGCCATCTGGGTTGATTGCACTTTTTTATGTCTGCCGATGCATCGAACCAGATCGATGAAAACTCAAGCCAGTTGTCATCTTTATGGGTGTTCACCTCTATGTATGATTCCGTTTTTAAAAACTAATAATATAATAACATTTTTAAAGCCAGCATAAGGCTAATGTAGTAAAAGAATTAGCTTAATTAGCTAATGGGGTGTCTCTAATCGTTTTATTTTGATTTTAGATGGGATCCAAGTGCAAAGAATTCATCATCTAAGAAAGAGTTATTGAAATGTTGTTAAATAATTGAGGCCATTTTTTATTTCAAAAATTATATTACCAAAAAAAAAAAGGTTTGAGAAAATGTCATTTCTCTTCAAGTAAATGGATTGGTCCTATAAACCATGCAAGTTCTGAGAAAAGTAAGAGCATTAAGTATAGCTGAAATGAATCATTGCAAGACTAATAAAACATAAAATCAGAAACAAGCACATTAAGCTTAATCAGTGACAGGATGAGGAAGAACCAACTAGCTAGGGTGGCATTTCAGGTTTTAAAAACTATAGTTAGAACAACATTTTCCTTAAGAGAGAGAGAGAGAGAGAGAGGTGGGGAAGGTTCATCCTTCCTTAGAATAAACCAATTTGGCCATTATCATGGAGAAGGTCAACTCATGTTTTATTAAACGAGTTTTGATGTAGATTGCATGGTTCCGACTTATTTGTTGGAATTGTTGGCATTTTTTATTCAGGATAAAGGTTAGTTGGTAGTAGTAGTAGTTGAAGGTTAGTAATATCTATAGACTATAATTGATGTAGTTGTTGGTTTTGAACGTTGAAAACCGGTGACGCGCTATCATGTTCATGTAGCGCAGAGTCTAGTTGCTGATAGTGATAGGGATGTTTGGGCACAAGGATACGCTAGGCATTTTCAAAGTGATTTTTTTCTTAGTTTTCTTGTTTGATGACAAGGAAATCATGAAATCTCTGTGTAACAAGCAATCCAATTTGGAAACCGGATTCAGTCAGAGCAAAGTCCGTTTAAACAATCATCATAGCCTTGTATTGGGAATATCTCCCCATCAAATAAAGTATATACATATGGAGATGTTCCCAATGTAAGACTGTAAAGACTATTCGAACAGTGTTCAAACAGACCTTACACTAACTGAAGCGGATCTCTCCAATTAGGAGGTAGAGGATGCATATTTTGTTATTACAAATTACATTACAGGGGATCAAGGGGGTGGGGAAAGAGTAGGGTGCATGTGAGGTCCACTGACCTTGCCACGAAGGCGAATAGTCTGCAATTACGCAGGTTTGATCCCACACCTCCAATTAACTACGTGCGTTTGATCCCGCACCTCCGTAATCGGAGGTATGAACTAGCTTGTGCACTAGGGTTATAATTGTTGAATTGAGGAAAAACAAAAGCACTTCCTGCAGGGATGTATTCTTCTCTATGTTTGCATTTTGTTTTGTAATTTTGGCACAATCACATCTAATAAGGGAGTGTTGACCAATGCAAATGATTTTGCTTTCTGAAACAAAAGAATGTGAATGGTTTTTGCTGAGATGGAAATTGTTTTTGTTTTTGAAAACAAAAGTTATAAAACCATTCACATTGGCCAATACCCTCTAAAATTTCAACTTATGTTCTTAATTGAGTTGTCTTTATTTTGTTTTGGCTTTTTGTACTTTTATTGAAAAAGGATTCTAGAGAGAACAGATATGTTGGATTATCAATTCTTCTTTTACCTTCAAATGGTGGCTTTATCCAAAATTTTATTTCTTAGAAAGATGTAATTGTAGATTAAGGAGTTGTTTAATAACTCTTTTTTGAAAGATCTTCTGGAAGCTTTGACAGTTAAAAAACGATGTGAGTTTTTACATTAAGATCTTAATAGTTTAAAGACCATTGGGTTAATGTGCGTCTTTTTGTGTGAATATGAATTGAAAAAAAGATGAAAAACTCTATTTGAAACTTCTCAAAAATAATTCGAAATGGGCTTTCTATGTCTTTTCGAGACTACGACTTTTAGCAATTAGATATTTTTTCAACCAAACAAAAAAATACCAAAATGCAGGCTGCCAAGTTTCTAAAAACCCGACAGTCCACGCAAAAAGATATGCCAAACATGGCCTAATTCTGTGCTGTACAGTCAAACCCAAAAAGGATGAAACACGAGTAAGCACTTTTTTTTTTTGCCAAACAAGTTCCAATTCATCATTATACTCAAAAATCAAAGCAACAACGAATGGATGATTTTAACAGAGGATTTCAATTCCACAAGTAAACAAGGATTAGGTCCATTAACAATGCACACCTCGGCCATGAAGGTTGACTAGCTACTCTAAGAAACAAAGAATCTTTGGAATTGCTATTAAACAACTATTAATCAACTAAAACAGAAAAATAATTATGGTAGAGCCAGACTATATTCCCCCAAGGTTGGTGAAGCTTGACCTGTGCTAATCTGGTCCACTAATTCATCTATTACCAAAGTGGGTTTGTTAAACCATTGCTGTATGGTGGTGGGGCTCCATGGCTGAAGAACCCAAGTTTGACAATCTGAACCGTCCAATTAAGAGCTTATTTTTTGGAGCAAATCTTTTGTTTACCCTTAAATTTGGAACTTGTTTCAACGACCACATGCCACTAATTGTATTGTTAAAATTTTAATTAAATTGCTGACCAAAAAATTTTAATTAATTAAATTAATTAGTCATTATTTGGGGGGGGGGGTGTTATGTGTGGAAGAGGGAACAGGTAAACTGTCTACATGATGGSATGATTTGGTGAGGCATATTTGGTGGGTCTGTGACTCTGTTCTCAAGGAGAGAATGTCTACAAGCCCGAGTAGGAAAGGGTTGGTCTGGCCGCTGGCCTGGGTCATTTTGGTCCTATTTCCATGTTGAACCGGGTTAGTGTATATGCAAATCCAATGAATTATGAATTAATGATGTCATGGATGTGACATTGAGGTTGCGTTTGGTTGTAGTGCAAATTCATTTGCACTGATGCAAAGCAAAACTATGATAGTACAAATGATTTGGATGCAAATTCTGATTGATTTTTATTTAAAATTTTACCTTAATTTTATTTAATTATACTACAAAAATGAAGTAAAATAAAACCTGAAACAGAATAAAGTAAAACCCAAAACAAAATTAAACCATAATTTGCTTTCTTTTCAATAAAACTATACTGCAACCAAACACAGCCTAAAGGGTTTTAATTAAGCTGGGCCAACCTCCACATGCCAGATCATCAACCAGACCAAGGTTAAACCATTGATATTCAGTGGGCTACTTGGGCTAACTGGGCAGGCCAAGGTTATGACCCGGCTTGGCTGGTCTCACATGGATTAGGAAGTCCTCTATCTCTGAATTTAATTCAGTCCATAACTGTGATGTGATGGATATAAGGTTGAGATTGTCAAAACCTACCACCTTTGAGATTTGATTAATGTCTTTTTATATAGCTGTCATAGTTCCAGGTCCGATTGGACGGGTTGAATTGATCCACTCGGGCAACCGAGTCAGTTGAGCCTCAGCCATGCATCATAGCAGCCCTCATGGGCTATCTGTACATATAACAGAGAATTGAAAAAGAAAGAAAGAAAGATATATAAATACATAAAAAGAGTGAATGTGCGCATTAGGTAGAGATTAGAGAGCCTGGAGGTGACCTTTCCTTCTCATTTCCAATTAAATATTCTTAGCTTTTCTACGATCTCAGCTGTCTCCGATCTATATAACTGAGTTAAGCCTTAAGCTGTCTCTCGCTCTCTGTCTCATCTCATCCAGTCTCCCTTGATCAACACTTGAACAAATTTGTTCTCTCAGAGCCATCAGCCATGGCCATGGAAACTGGTCTCCTTCTCCTCTTAGTTCTTGCTCCGGCCGTCTACGCTGCCGATCATACTGTGGGTGACTCCAGTGGGTGGAGTCAAGGTGTGGATTACACCACCTGGGCTTCTAGCAATACTTTCACCGTCGGCGACACACTTAGTAAGTTTATCTTCTAAGTTCTAATCCCCCCAGAATCAAGGCTTATTCATTCCTCCGGTTTAAGACTAGTTGATGGCTCAAATTTTTGATGATAAATTTAGAAAATTGAGCTTCAATATCAATGGTTTTGATCTGCCATGTAGCCACATTAAACCATGGGTAACTCGCCCACATCCACGGCTGACCCAATAACTGCCCCAAATTATATGAATGGTGGACTCGAAGGCTTCATTTGGTTTGACAGAGAATAAGATCGAGAAATGGACAATATAGATGGAAAGTGAACTTTCCCTCAACTCTCTGTTTCTCACTTATTATTTTTCAAACCCAATACAGCCTAAATGACCTAAGATCATTCCACGTGGCAAGATGGTTCCCACTTTTAGGCCTTGTATCTCTAGAGGCTTAAAAGTGTTTTTATAATCTTTAGGCTTTAGATTGTTATGTTTTCTAAAAACAGTTTTCACCAAACACTCAAACCACTGTTTAGCTTTGTTTATTTCCCACAGCCCAAAGCTCAAAAGCAAAAGCTTATTCAAACCATGGTTTTCAAACAGCTGTTGATTTGGATGGTTGGACTATTCGGCCCAGAAACCATCCAGGCAATCGGTTATGTTTTACCTTAAATTTGATCTTTGGCCAAAAACTATTGAATCGGTCAATGATCCATTGATTCCAGTAGTTGAACCATTGATCCGTTTAATGGTTTTTAACTGTTTTTAAATTTTAATTGTTTTTTATTTCATCAGAACGGGCCATCTGTTTAGATCGGACAGTCAAATCGTCGACCCAAAAACCACTGGTCAGAACGGTTCCGATTCCAGATCGTTTTTTAAAACATTGATTCAAACAGAACCTTAGGACTCTTTTGGGAGGGCTGAAGGAGATGTTTTCACTGAACCAATTTAAAGCGAACCACTAATACCTCTAAAGTATTGGGGGTATTGAGGATACACACCACTAATGCCCCCAAAGTTGGTGATTACAAGAATCGAATCCACATCTACACTAAATCAAACCATCTAACATACCAACTGAACCACCCCTCATTTATACAAATTCTAACCCTAATTCTATTTGTTTTAATAAATCAATGGCAGCGTTTAGTTATTCAGGACTGCACGGAGTGGACCAAGTAACCAAAACCAACTACGACAGTTGCACGGCCAAGGCCCTCAAAAGCTACAATTCAGGAAGTGACAAAGTGACCCTTGACCAAGCAGGAGATTGGTACTTCATATGCCCAACCACGGGACACTGTGACTCTGGGATGAAGCTAGCAATCACGGTTTCTGCAGCAAGTAGTACTCCATCAACTCCTTCCCCTCCCTCTACAACTCCGACCACCCCATCTACGCCTACGCCCACCACCCCGTCTCCGCCCTCCACCACCCCGTCTCCGCCCTCCACCACCAGTCCCTCAACTCCCACGGCGTCAGCAGCCACCATTCTGTACAACATGAATGCATTGGTGATTGGAGCTTCGGTTGTGTTGGCACTACTTTTGGGCTAGGGGAGAGGCAGTGCATGTGCATGGAGTTCAGTCCAACATCTCCGTTTTCTTAATTTGTGTGATTCTTGTGATTGATCATTTGATCCATTACATATTTGTATCGACGATTGTCGAAAGCGTTGTCTTTGGAGGATGGCCTCTTTTTATAATCCCTTCTTGCTTCTCAATTTAATCGGATTTTGCATTTGATTCATTTCACATTTGCATCATTGCAAAAATACACAAGATTGATTAATTGATTAACACAATTTTAGGTAAGGACTAGAGAGCAAAGATGACCTAAGCGATGACTTAAATCTTTAGGTATGTTTGGGCACATGAGATTTACACTATCCACCACAAAGATAACCCAAGTTTTTCTAAGTCACTATCTCAAAGTCTGAAATCTGATGACTCTCTCTAAGGCTTGTTAACGAAATTTTAACAACTTTCCCTTAACTTTTTGTTTCTCTCTCTTATTTTCTAGAGTCTCTTAACTATGGTGCATCACAATTTAAATTAATTATATTAAAATAGTTGCATGATTTACTTTCAATTTTTTATTGGTTTGTATCTCACAAGGTTTAATTTTACATTTTAGGAGATGTACTTAGGGGCATTCTTTTTTTTGGATTTTGAGAGGGGGAAAAAAATCCTATGTTCATTTTTCATATTTATGTGGGGATCAGGTAAACTTTACTTTTCTGGGTATGGCTTACCTAGCTATGTGATGCCCATTTTCTAAGTGGATAAATAATTTTTCCACCTAGGGGGAAGTTGTTAACACTTGAATATGACAAAAATGCCCCTTTTAATAATGAATTTTTATGGCTAAAATAGTCATTACCTTATTTATCTGAGAAATACAAGAACATGGATAAATTCACTTACCCAAGAAAAACTTACCCAAATAATTGTATTTACAGATTTACCTAGGTAAATTAACTTACCGAAAAGTGAACGGGGCCTTTAAATATTCAACTATAACATATCGCTTTTATCATTGATTCACATTTTTACTTCACAGTATAATTTTTGCACTATAGATTTTGGGCATTTCCAAATAAAATCTAAATTTATTACCTAGATTTTATTGGGCCTGCCTATTAATGCTATCCTCGAGATTGATCTGCATTATCTTGTAGTTATGGGTTCAACTATGATATGGGAAAAACAACTGACCAATAAACTAGAATCATAAACATGATAATGACTCAGGTATTATTTATCAAAATTCATGGGTGGGTTTTGATTGGTCAAAACTCTTTCCATACCATATCTTTTCCGTATCATAGATTTTCCCTATAGTTATACATCATATTGGTGAGTTCAGATTGATGCCCCACAGAGCACATCCCACATGCACATCTCAGCATGCATTGGAAATATCTCTTGTACTTGTCATGGGGAGATATTCCCAATACACGACTAGGATGGGCTGTGGGATATGTGGTGCTCATGCGAATTCCATATTAGTAGTCCAAATCCAAAAAAGAGTTAGAACACATCAAATGAATACACGACTAGGATTGGGCATCCAATTAATCAATACTTTGCTAAAAGATGGGCAGAATTAAGAGCTCGTTTGGTTCACAATCAGAGTTGGAGTCGGAATTAGAATCAAAGTCTTTTGGAATCAGAATTGGAATGGTCTATTCCCATAGTCTGTTTGGTTCAAATAGGAATGAGAACGAAAATTGAAATCAGTAGAAATGTGATTTTATTCCGAAGAGAAAGGCAGGGAATGGCCATTCCCTCAAAAGAGAATGGGATTCAGATCAGAATAGCCTATTTCGAATCCAATTCCAGTCCCTATTCCTGCGAACCAAACGAGGCCTAAATTTGAAATATAAAGGTTTATATAAATTGGTATTGCTAACCCACCACTTAATGGGCCCTTCTGTTGAGGCTTGGCTTTTTATGTTTTGTTAGAGTTGCAATCTTTAATGAAACAGTGGATTTGGACCCACCATTGAATGGGCCCTTACTGTACTACTTTTAAAGCCCAAAAAGTCGGGTCTGAGTCCGACCCGTTGGTTTTGATGAATAGGAAAGGGACTAAGGGAGACATATTGTTTGGAGCCTTTTGCCAGGAATTGCTCAACAAAAAAGTCAAGAAGATTTAGGTATGATAAGGAAAGGGACTGAAGTAGACGTAGTAAAGATGAACAGATAATAAACTAAAAAAATATAAACAACCACACAGAGATGTTAATGATATAAAACCAGAAAAGGAGCAGGTTGTGGATAGGTGAAGCTGACATGTTCTTCCTCCTAAATTAATTAAATTCATCCTTCTAGAATGTGCATGAATAGAAATGTAGCTTGTAGCATGTTTTCCCTGCTTCCGCTGCTCTCTCTTTCTCTCTCTTTCTATCTATCTATCTATCTATCTATCTATCTATCTATCTATCTATCTATCTATCTATCTATCTATCTATATATATATATATCTTTTCTTTCTTTCTTTGTAACCGATATAGAAGGGATTAAGAGGTGGAGATACAGCAGATTGCACGTAATGTGCTGCCAAGTGCCAACTATCTCCGCATATTTAGAACATCTCTCATGATGACAAGGGAGATTTTCCCAAAAATAATTGTTGATCCAGTCGGTTGAACCGTTTGAATTGTTATTCGGTCAAGATTCCGGGTTCAATTCAGTCAAGACCCATTAAACGGTAAAAAATTGTTGACTTTGTCAAGAACCGTTTGACCTAGATGGTTTAACCATTGACCCATTCGACTCGGTCACTGGGTTACGGGTTACACATTCAATGAATATAAGCTTTCGGAGGCCATAGCTTTGCACTCTGATGTCCGATTGGGGTGATTTTTTTTATTTATTTATTTTGGGTAACCTTTCGAGATCTATGCGTCCCAGGTAAGGCACTATTTTCTTTAAAAAACCCTTTTGGCCTCAAATTGCAATTTTTAATAATATTTTTTATAAATAAAAATTAAAAATTCAGTTAAAAAATATAAATTAAATATAAAAATACATATAACATATCTAAAACATATTTATACATATATACACATATATACATATGTACGTACGTATGCGTGTGTGTGTGTGTGTGTATATATATGCTTAATGCATATATATGATGACATGGAATGGTCTGAACTGTTTAAACTAGTCAGTTGAACCGATGACCCATGACCCGGAGGCAAAAATGGTTCGGCCTTTGGATCAGTTTTTAAAACATGGGAAAGATCCTTTTTTAGCTCTATCTTTTTTTTGGGAAAATTCCATATATTTTGATTTCAATATTTCTTGGTTTCAATAGGACTCTTTACAAGCATTATTTCTATCTACTATTATATAAAAATAATCAAGTAATAAATGACTGGACTTTATACTCTATTGGGCTTGGTCTTCGGGCTAGATTCATTCAAATTTTGGCAAAAAGGCAAGTCCAAGTTCGGTCCATGAATAGGTTTACCCTCATGTGCAAAATTATAGAAGACCTCCTTTAAGACCAAAAAGTTCCATAAAGTTCCATTGAATTGAATAAGCAACAGTGGCTGTTGGGACATTGTTGGAGGTGTTTTGTTGGTAACAAAGCCAATACATCCTGATGTTAGAGGACAGAAGTTAGGGAATGAGAAGAAGAAAAAAAAATTAAAAACATTCTTTCAAAAAATTTCTACCTGTAAATCTGTAATAGTAGGCCTAGGGTTAAGATATGAATCCATTGAAGATTTAACAAATTTCCAACTCAACCCGGCCCAAGTTGCACCTTGACTAGGCTAATCATGATATAGTGACGCACCACGTCAACTCCCTCCCAATATTTTAGAAATGAGTTTGCGTTCTATGAACCCATGGGTGCATTTGATGAGTGAATCCACAAATCATAGTCGTCCATGTCGACTAGGAGAAGGAATGCGTAATGTTAACATTCCAAGTCCCGTTAGGCGAGTTCAACAGTTCAACCAGCAACAAAATGACAAAATGAAGATCAAAACCCCTGAAAAACCTCATTTTTGGCTTTCCCCTTGTAGACCGAGCCCTACCCACACACCAATGACAATACAACAGTGAGTAAGTTGAACCAGCGGCCGTTGGCGGCAATGGCGAGAGCTCCGGTGGTACGTTTCTCTCTTCTTTTTTCTTCTTCTTCTTCTTCTTCTTCTTCAGATGCACTAGTTTTGAGTGCGCATTTCTTTATATTGGCAGTAGACCTCTTCATGGTCGAGCTCAAGTTTGGCTTTTGCTAAATACACAACATCAAATCTATTCAACTGAAGTTCATTTGAGTTCAGTTCTCTAATAAATAGTTTGGTCACTTGGTGGTTAGAGATAATAGAAAAATTTGTAATGAACATGCAAGGAAGAGATGAAAGGTTCCCTAATTTTGGACTATGCAAAGGGGAATCAGAAGAGCAATTGAACCCGTGTTAGCGGGTACGAGTGTAGGACATGGTATTGTTGCCTATGAATAAATCGGTTTTTGGAACTAATCGGAATTTGAAGAACAAAGCCGAAGAACTATCAATGGACGGGCAAATAAAGGGCCAAAGGGGTGCAAAGAGAAAGAGACATCGGGATGGTCAGGTCTCAGAGAGGAGTCTAGATCAGATCCTCACAGAGGAGCGCTTTGTGAGGGACAATGAGAGTATCATTTGAATCCGAACTCTGAACTGTTGGTGTTCCCTCCTTATGAGGTGGAACCCATTAATAAAGGTAGAGAAAAGAAAAGAAGAAAAAGACAAAAAGAAAGGAATGGAAAGCCAATATGTCTTTGGTTAACGAACAAATTGGAGAGAGCTCACTCTCCACTCTCTCAACTCTAACAACTCTCTAGAAAATTTCAAAGAACAAAAAAGGGGTTTAGAGAAGAAGGTTTTTGGGAAGAAGAAGAAGATTTAAAAGGGCTAGAATGAAGAAGACAAATCTGTTTTCAACATCTCCTCTTGCTTCCGTTGTTGTGCTTCAACCTTTGGTGAGAGATTTTTTGTTTGTTATTTATTTTAATGGTGTTTTATGTTATTGGTATCCAAGAGCTTTCTTGTTGTTCATCATCTAGTTGTAACTAGATAGAAAAACATTGTATCCCATTGCTATTGCTGATAATGGATGATTTGGACTTCAGTCCTGTGGTTTTTACCCTCACATTGAGGGGTTTTTCACGTAAAAACTTGGTGTCTACTACTGTTGCTTGATTTGTTTTTGGTTATTTGTTTTATTACTATTGCATGCCTGATATTTTG